TACCCAATGCTTGTATAAATAAATAAATAATTAAAAAAAAAGTCTCCCTAAAACTTCTGATACAACTTCTGAGAGGGGGTTTTACCAAACTATTTAGAGAAATAGTACCTTTGTGTATCCCCAAGAACCAAGAAGAGACTATAAACCTTTCTTTGTTTCGTAGTATGTTACAAAAAAAGGGACTGGCTGTCATTATTTGTTTTCAGATATAAATATGTGTATCATAATTATATGCATTTTCAATCCACTCATTTCTCCCATTTTCTTAGAGTTTCTAATTTCTTACATACATTTCCACCTGCCCAGGATCTATCCAGGCCACCCTTTAAGAATCATTGCTCTAGACTTTGTATTCCTTTTGAAGGTCATTTCCACCAAAACACCAAGTAAAAAATGGACAGTAGAGTTGAGTAGACATTTTTCCAAAGAGGATATACAAATGACCAATATACATGAAAAGATGCTCAGTATCACTAGTCATTAGAGAAATGCGAATCAAAGCCACAGTGAGTTACCATTTCACACCTGTTAGGATGACTAAAAAGACAGGGACACACACCAGAAAACAAGTATTGGTGAGGATGTAGAAAAATTGGAACCCTTGTGGCAATGTAAAATGATGCAGCTGCTGCGAAAAATAATTTTGGCTGTGGTTCCTCTAAAAGTTGAACATAGAATTGCCATGTGGTCCAACAATTTTACTCCTAGGTCTACACACCCCGAAGAATTGAAAGCAAGGATTCAAACAGAATAACAGATGCTTGCACACCAACATTCATAGCAGCATCGTTCACAACCGCCCACAGGTGGAAGCAGCCCAAGTGTCCATCAGTGGCTAGATGGATAACAAAGTGTGACAAGTACAGACAATGGAATGTTAGCCATTAAAATAAATTCTGATACATGCCACAACATGGACAACCCTTGTACACATTTTGTTAAGTAAAATGAGGCAGACACAAAAGGGCAAATATTGCATGATTCCACTTATATGAAGTGCATAAAATAGGGAAATTGATAAAGACAGAAGGTAGGATAGAAGTTACCAGGTGCTGGGGCAAGGTGGGGAAGTGAGGGATTTTTATGTAATGGGTACAGAGTTTCTGTTTGGGTTGATGAAAAAGTTGTAAAAATAGATGGTTATATAACATTGTGAATGTACTTAATGCTATTGAATTGTACGCTTGAAATGTTAAATTCATGTTATATATTTTTACCACAATTAAAAATAAGCAGTGGTTACCAGGGACTTGGGTGAAGAGAGAAAGGAATGAGAAAGAGGAACACAGTGGGGTTTTAGGGCAGTGAAACCGTTCTGAGACTGTAATGGTGGCTACATGGTCAAAACCTGCAACACACGCGGAGTGAACCCTAATATAAACCATGAGCTTTAGTTAATAAAAATGTCTCAGCTGTAACACATGTATCACACTAAATGTACCACACTAAATGCAAGATGTTAGTAACAGGAGAAACTATATGGCCAAGGGTGGGGGAGGGCAATAAATGGGAACTTTCTGTACGTGCTCATTATTTCTACAAACCTACAACTGCCCAAGAGATAAAGCCCATCCATATTTTTAAAATGAGACTATAATGTGAATATTCTTAGTTTTTTCTTCACACAGTATGCAAACATTATAAAGATCTTCCCCAGAACTCAGCCTCAGCAGGCAGACAGCGAAGGGCAGGGGTGGGCAGGGAGGCCAAAGAACAGAACTGAGGCTGTGGAAGGAAGGTGAGATTCAGAGGATGTGGGACTTTGACCGCAGGGGGTGTTTTACCCAAGGGCTTAGAGGAGAGGGACGAGAATTTGGACTGTGGAGGTTATTTGAGTCCATGTGTCCGAGCATCCCCAGCAGTCTGGGAATTGGAGCAGGACCGGGAATTTGGGCTCAGGGTGTCCTGGTCCCCTCCTGGCAAAAGGCTAGATTGAGCAAGTACAAGGAAATGAAGTCACACACTCACCCCCGTGCCAGCATATTCTGGGACTTCCCTGTTAGGGTGAACAGGTATAAAGGTCAAGCAATTGTGGCAGACAGTTGCCTGAAATTTCTGTGATAGAAATCTCCTGGGACAGGTGGAAGCCGGTGGGGAACCATGGGAAGGAGCTGCTCCACCTAAGCCAGGATGCGTGCACGTTAACCTTGGCTTCCCCCACCTGACGCTGCTGTGACCTTTCTGAGTCACTTTCCCTCTCCTGGTATCCTCCTACAGAGCTCTCTGCCAAACTCCCACCGTGCAGAGAGGATGTGCCTGTCATGAGAACGCCTATGATCTATAGGGATGATTTAGGAAAACACCTGATGGGGCTTGGCTCAGCTGACCCGGCCTTGTGCCTTCTTGCCCTGGACTTATAACTCTTGTGTATCATCTATCTCTGTCTCATATCATCTTCTAGTGCATTTATGAATCTAGATGCCTCTCTGCCTGCCTAAAGTCTGAACCCTTTCCTGAACTCCAGGGTCACGTGCCCGACTCATCCAATCAACACATATACTTGAATGTACAATATCCCTCTCACCACCCAATCACACCTCCCACCCTGATCCAGTCATAGTATTTCTCACATCTGTTAATGGCAACTCCATCTTGCCAGTTGTCTCAAGTTTCAAAATGCCTCTAAATGTTTCTAATCTCTCCTGCAGCTACCATTTTTGGAGTAACTTCATAATCTTTTTGCTTCTGCCAAAGCCTAGACCCCCTCCACTCTTATTAGCACTCCTAAGTGATTCTTTAAAAACACAAATCAGAGCATAGCAGACCCTCCACCAGTTCCATCATTCATACAGAGTCCACGTCTTTGCAATGACCCTCCAGGTGTTACCCCATCTGCCCCATTTACTGCTCTGACCTCATCCTCTACTTTCTCCCTTGATCACTCTGCCTCGGGCCCACTGTCCTTGTTCCTTGGATTAGGCCAGGCAGGCTCTATCCTCCAGACATCTGCATCAGCTAGAGTTCTCACTGGAGTGCCCATCTTCAGTTACCCATGTGCTTATTCTTTCATCTTCCTCTAGTCCAGGCTCATGTGATATTTTCTTAATGAGACCTACCCTGAACTCCCTATTTAAAATGGCACCCCAGGGGCCTCCCTGGTGGTGCAGGGAGTTGAGCACCGCTCTATGAGCCAATCCGCAGCCTCTGCACTACGAATTCGATCCTCCCGCTGGCCAGGGAGCTACCCACATGGGGCAGCAGACCTTTCTGGCTCACCCGCTGCTCCCCTCAGCAGTGTACTTCAGTGGATCTGCCTGTTCTGTTCCCCATTCTGTCTCTGATGTATCCTCTCACCCCCCCACACCTCTGGCCTGTACCCCATTTCTTGTATGCATAAATAAATCTTTAAAAGAATAAATGGAACCCCAGTTAAGGCTTGACCCAATGTCTTACCCTGATATTTTTGCATCTCTGCGGTCACCTAATATACCACTACATTTTTAACTCGGGCTTCTCTTAGCTCCTTTCCTAGTGGGCCATCAATGTAAGCTCATTGGCGAAAGAATTTTTTTTATCTTTTGTTCACAGTTATGCGCCCAGTACTTACACAAGTGCCTGGCATAGAGTAGGCATTCAATATTGGTTGAAGGAATGAAAATAAATGGGTGAGTGATGCCACTCATCCTCCAGCCTGGCAACTTCTTCCTGACCCCTCATACATTTTAGTATTTTTAAAAACTACCTTTACAGGTGCTTTTCCAGCAACTCACTGTGTTCTGACATGGCACACCCAGTTGTTTGACCCTGGGCCTTTGCTCATGTTGTATTCAGCCTGGGGAGGCCTCTCCATTCCCAGCTCCTTCCTGCCTGACTTCTGTTCTTCCTTTGAAACTCAGTTTACATATCACCCTTTCCAGGGATATTTCCGTGAATACCCTCAAAACTAGGTTAGGTGTCCTGCTGTGTACTTTCACTACCTCCTCTAACCCCCTCTTATCACATTGCTTTCTTGAATTTTTATTTGCCCACTCCTTGATCCTACAATCTCCAAGGGAGGACCTGTGTGTTTTTCATGCTGTATCCCTAGGGTCCGGCACAGTATCTGGCATGTGATAACTATTTGAATACTTGATTATTGAATGCAAGACTCAGCTCAAAGGCATTTTTATCCTGAGACCCTTTTGAGTACATTCTCACCAACTGTTCTTCATTCTAGGAGGCAGCTGGAGGCAATGGGGGTCACACAGGCAACAGGGCTACAGCAGGCCCCCAGATGGGCTGCCCCTTCAAGACCTAATCAGTAACAACAATGCAGAGAGAGATGATGCTATCATTTGCTTTGACATCCTGTCATAGTAGCTATGTGCTTTTGACAACCACAGAGGCACCTCTCAGACTGGAGTAATCGGCACTCCTCAAAAAGCCTTTCCTCTAGATTACAGGCATTTGTAGGAGCTATGAGGAATTGTGCTTGTGGTCCAAAAGGCACTGGGTTCCTGAACCCCACATCTTGTGCTATCATTATGTCCACTTTGCTCCTCTGGGGCCCAAAGGCACCATGGGAAGCAATAATAGAATCATGCCTGACCTTCATCTTCAGTGAGCAGTAAAAGGGAGTCTTCTTCTCTGCTCAGTTGCCTCTCTTCACAGTCCAGGATGTGGCTGGAAGAGTTTAAAATGCTGACCTAGAGCCTCCCTGGCGGCGCAAGGGGTTAAGACACAGCACTATGAAGCTATCAGCAGCCACTGTAGCACGAGTTCAATCCCCGGCCAGGGAGCCTCCCACATGGCGCAGCAGACCTCTCCTGACTGGCCCACTGCTCCCCTCAGCAGTGTACTTCAGTCAATCTGCCTTTTCTGTTCCCCACTCTGTCTCTGGTGAATCCTCTCACCACTCGCATCTGGCCTGCACTCCAGCTCTTGTATGCATAAATCAGTAAATCTGAAAAAAATGCTGACCCATCTGAAATATGGCTTTACACTCCTGTACAACGTGGAAAGTTCTATCTTCCCCTCCTCTCCTCTCTCCTTCACACACACATTGAAAATAAGGAGGCACACACAGGTGGTTCTTTGCTTAGAAGTATGGAGTGTATTTGGAGAGGGTTCTGCCTCACCTGCACTTTAGTGGAAATGATGACAGCCTTTTTTTACCGGATGCAGAGGCTTGGGGACCTTTGAACTCCTTTTTCCTGCACTGGGTATTCTTGTGGAGATCAGTGCTTTCTTTTGAGGTGAGAGCGGAGAAATCCTGGGGTGGATTTCCTGACTGAGTGGTACGAGTCAGGTGAGGCCAGGGCTTGGAGACGCTTTGGGAAAGGCACAGGAGCTGGGAGGTGCTGGAAGGCAGGGTAAGTTGCTGGAGCATCAAAGCAGATCATGCCCCCCTCCTCTGTGGTCTTCTCCGACCTAGTTTCCCTCACTGGGTCTTTGGTGGAGGCCAGTCTCTTCTCTATCTTTTTTGTCATGGATTAGCTGCTGTCTCATCCTTGGAGCCAAGAGTGGGTTCTTTATGCCCTCGCCCTTTTACCTCAGTGTTGCAAATGCTTCATCTTATTTCCCATGGCAGCTTTTGCAGCTTCTGGAAGGATGGAGCTCTAGTAAGTACAGGCTACTTTTACCAGAGCCTTTAGTTCTTAGCCCTAGAAAGTGGGGCCCCTATAAACTGGCCCTGCAAAGTTTGGATTTAAAAAATGTGACCCTTTCAAATGATGGACTTGCAAAATTTGGCCCAGCAAATGATGGTACAAAAGTTGGTCCTACCAGGTCTTGTCCTTTAAGCTCTGGGCACTCCAGATTCACCTTTCTCAGGAATGGTAGTTTGGGTGGGGTCATTTCGCTTGCTCTGTCAGCCTTGCAGATCATTCTTATCTGGTCCTCTTGACCCAAGGAATTCTGGAGGATGCTTTAGGAACTCACAGTGAGGGAGGAACTAGTAGAGGTCCTTACAGGGAGCAGTAAGCAAAGAGGATGAAGAGGGCGGCTCTACAGATCCTCACCATTGCCTACTCACACAAGGGAACCATCTTGGCCAAACAAATTTTACCTGAGAAAGGACCAGGAGATACATTTGGAAAGTCAGAGGCTCTGAGCTTCCTACTGGCCCCTAACCTTGGCCGAGAAAACATTCTGTCTGGTTGGGGAGAGCCTCGCTGCATCTCCTCCTCTGCCATTCACTGCAGCTTTGAGTTTCCCTGGGTCCTGTTTTCTCTGCCATAGGAAGTTGTCCTCCTCCTTGCAGAGGCCTAGGGCTCAGGGCTCCAGGGCTCCTCCAGGCTGGGGCTGTTCACCTTGGTCTCCAGCTGAACACAAAGCACCTGAGTGTCTGCCACATCCCCACTGAGTTGTGAGATATTGAAGGCCCATAGGATTGCTCAGAGTTAGCTTGCTCTGGTTCTATGGCATGACCTTAATCTAACTGCAAGCTCTTCTTTAAGGTGGACTGTTCTGGGGCACATGGGATGCCTGGTGGGTGGGGGAGTTCCTGGAACATTGTTTTCCCTTAGCTATTTAGATTCATAAAAGATGCCTAGGCACAGATATTCTTTATTATTCTTTGTTACCTGGACTCCTTTGTCCAGGAGACTTATGAGACTTCCCAAATGTATCTCCAGGAATTTTCTTTTAAGGTAAAAATTTAGTTTGCCTGGGCTTCCCTGGTGGTGCAAGGGGTTAAGTCTCAGCACTATGAAGCTATCCACAGCTGCTGCAGCACGAGTTTGATCCCCAGCCACAGAGCTACCCACATGGCACAGCAGACCTCTCCTGTCTTGCCCGCTGCTCCTCTCAGCAGTGTATTTCAGTTACTGCCTGTTCTGTTTCCCACTGTCTCTGATGCATCCTCTCACCCTCTGCACCTCTGCTCTGCACCCCCTGCACCTCTGCCTACACCCCAGCTCTTGTATGCATGAACAAATAAAATCCCCCTCCCCAAAGTAACCTATTTAAAAAAAATTTTAGTTTGGCGAAGATGAGTGTTGGAGTAAGTGGGGGGCAGGAGTCTGGCTCTTTAGAGGCACTGTCTCCATTCCCCTGCACTTCAGTCTGCACTGTCTATACCCAGGGTCATTGGCATCTTGAAAGCCTGGCCCAGGATTTACCGTTGCCATTTAGATGAGATTGAGCCAGCAGGCAGGGTCAGGTGCGATCTCTGTGATGGTAGATTGGCTAGTGATTACCAGGGCCCTGCCCTGGGAGAGAGCCACATAATAAAGAGCCAGCAGCCCTGATGGGAAGCCCAAAACTTGCATCCAGTTTCTCAGTGGCTCCCTGAAAAGGCACCCAGGCAGGTGCGGGTCAGAAGAGTCACTGACGGTATCTGGTGAGTCTTGCTGCTATTGGTCAAGCCCTGTGAGTATTTAGGGTAGCACTTCCTGATCAGTTTAGGGGTTGACTGCTGCCTCCACATCTAGCAATGGTGAATCAACTTGCTGGATCAACCACTTACCTCCCTCTGGAGCAGCCCCAAATTGGAAGGGCCCCTGGGTCTCTGGACAGATTGCAGCATGTCTCAGGGCCTATGTAGCACTGCCCTCTGCATCTACAGCGGTCTCTGGACAGCAGCTGGCAAGCCCCGCTGATGCTGGAGGCGTCTTTGCAGCAGGCACCTCTCCAGGGCTTCGTCACGGTTGGCCAGAGTTGGAAAAAGGACGTTGATATGGGCTAGTTGATAGTCAGATAGAAAAGCCCAAATTCAGGAATATGGAAAGAAGGTGGGGAGACTGATGTGGAGGACAATTTAGACAGTATAAATACTAAGGAGAAGTCACTGAAGAAAAAGAAACCAGGGCTCCCTTTTGTGGAGAGATCTCCAAGGGAGACAAAGGGGTGATGGTGCAGAAAAGAAGAACCTTAGAAAAGCAGCTGTGTTGTGCTGCAGATCACACTGACGCTTCAGTGTCCCCCAGGCAACGGACAGAGGTTACTTAGAAGCTGAAAGGTGTTAAGGGTAGAGCCAGAATCACGACGTTTGGGATTTTCTTGCAGTGGTATTTGCTCTGGATCCACAATGGATCCTTCAAAAACCCAGAAAATTTGGGTGTACTGGCTGGCCTCCCACGAGCCCCAAGGTTTAAGCCCATGTTTTCAACAGAGACCTTCCATGTAGCATTCATGATAAACAAATGGCTGTTCTCCCCTAGACTTGGACACTTGCGTGGGCGGGACGGTAGTATGATGTAAGCTGTCACAGGAACTTTTCCATGGCATTTGGGAGCCTTTAGGTGGAGAAATGCGTGCATTCATATGCACACATTAAAGATACCTCAGGGACGCAGGAAAAACAGGTGAAGGAATGCATAGCAGTGGAGTTTTGTTTTTTTTTTAGGTGTGTGAGCTACAGAGAAAAAGGGAATCAGTATTCAAAGGCTGCTAACCTTGTTTCTCCAGAGCACGTGGTGTGTCACTCTTCTTGTCCTCTTGGCTCACAGCAGTCCGAGTCGCCTCCAGACTTGAAGACAGAGCTCCTGTGTCACCAGACACGTTTGGTACTTGAAGTCCCTGCCCTGCTGGGGATGTTAGACCCAGTCATGGATGCTGACTGCACCAGTTGTTGGGGCAGCTGACTGGGTTAAGGATTTCTTGTCTGTTATTGGGACACCTTGGAGATTGCAGGTAGAAAAGGAAGTTCTTTGGAGTGTGGGGAATCCTGTTTTTTTCTCAAGAGACACATTAGCCATGGCCATGCTGTCTAGACAAGGGGAGCCCTGAGGGGGCCCCACTGAACAGAGGGAGGTCAGGCTCCCACCCTCCAGCAGATGCTTGATGTCCAGAGCCACAGCATTGCAGGTGTTGCAGCAGGGATCCGCACACAGGAGCCGCCGCACTCCTCCCTCCCGAGGAAACCAGTCCTGGCTGGAAGGGAAACACGCCAGCCATTACCGATGGGGTGACGTCTGCACGTCTGCCTGCTTGGGCGCGTGGGCTCTGGAGATTGGCCCTGCCCTGCCCCAGACCTGGGCTCTACACTCCCAGCATGTCTGAGCCACTCTTTTCAGGAAACTTTAGGCAGCACAGGGATGGCTGGTGAGGGCCTGGGGCTTGTGGGCGTGGCCGCAGGGAGGGAGCTAGGGAGCACAGGGCCCCAGAGCCTGGGGGATGAGTCCTCTGTGGCCCTGCTGACAAGCTGAGCCAGCAGAAGGGATCCAGGGACATGGGGGAGTCAGCGAGTAGCTGATGGGGCATCTCCAGGATCGTCACTGGGTACACCCAGAGCCATGCACGTTTGGGGCTGAGAGGCCACAGCCTGCTGCTCAGTTCCCAACACGAGGGAAATGAGTTCCTGGGGGGAACTCTGCATCCTGTGGCCAGTGCTGTGTCCTCAACACCGCCTGAGAGCCAACCCCATTCTCTGTGGACCTTAAGCAGAGGCTAGAGTGACAGGGTCCTGTCTGAGTGCCGTCCCAGGAAGTGACTTCACTGGCGACAGAACCAGAGCAGGTGATGGCAGCTGATGCGGCCAGAGTCCCGGGGACTGTGCCTGAAAGGGTGTTGCTGTCAAGAGACTATGAGGGTGGTGGCTTCTGTCTGCGCTTACTTAACTCCTTCTGTGGGGAGTGCAAACCCATGTAGAGCTGCTTGTTAATTACATGCCAGTCAGATCCTGGATTCCAGGCCTGCTGTGTCCCTGTCCAGAGCAGAAGTGCACACTCCCCCCTCTGAGACGTCTCATCCCCGTGCCCTGGCTGCCTTCACAAGCCGCGCTCCAGCCTCTGCTGTGTCTCACCTCCTCCCAGCTTTATCCCTCCCCACCCCTGCCCCAGACTGAGCTGAGAAATCAGCACAGGCCATGTGGGTGCTGGAGGACTGCAAAGAGCCAGGGATCACCTTTTCATGACAGAGAGCAGCTCCCTCGGCTTCTCAGCTTCTTTCCTGGAACACCCCCTAGCTGAGAAACCAGGAGACAGTGTCACTGGAGCAGGTGAGGATCGGGGATGCCCAGAGGCCTTTGCAGCAGGGGGGGCTGAAATCCCAGCAGGCACTGTGTGAGGCACATCTGTGCACAGAGGAAGGGGTTTCAAAGCGCTCCCCACCCATCCCATTTGCTGCTCTCAGGGCCACTGCCTGGGGCCCATTTCATCTGAGCAAGACTGAGGTGCAGTGACTGTCACAGGGTCAGGAGACTAGTAAGTGATGCAGCGAAGGGCTTTTGCCTGCCGTCTTCACCCCTCACCCTTGGGTCAGAATTTTGGAACATTCCCTAGTTCTGACCTCCCACCTCGGAGAATCTTCTGGGAGAATTTGGGAATTGAATCCTTAGGTGGTCAGAGCATCTGGCTCCTGGCAGCTGGGGCCATAGAGGGACAGGATCTGCGGGAACGTGGTCCACACGGAGGGGTTTGGGGAAGAGACTGGCACCTTACCTCTTGATGGTATATCATTAGCTCTTTGTTTGAGTTTCCGGTGACACTTAAAGACAAAAAAAAAAAAAAAAAAAAGAGGGTTTGAAGCTTGGACACCCTTTTCATGTCTAAAATGAGATAAAAACCCATAAATATTTCTCCCCTTTTTTTTTTGTATTTCTAGTTTATACATTCTCTACCCCCGCCGACATTCTACCTTTCTTTATTTCCCCATCATTTCATTTTTCTTGGTCTTATTTAGGATTCACTTTGAGGCTCTTTCATACTCTATACCCCCCTCCCCACTTCCCTGAATAAGTTCTGCAGGAGATCAGAATGAGACGGGAGTAATAGTGGAACAGATTAAAGGGTGGGTAGTCAAGTAGCCAAAAAGGCCCTAAATGTCTGCCAAGCAGAAGAATCATCCACGTTTGGAGCTGTTCTGGGATACAGTGAGGAAACTCCTATATAAAAAAAGCTTGGGTTCAGGTTAACAAGAGACAACGAGGGAAAATAATCTCCTTATTTGAGGCTTAATCAGTTTAGTCATAGTCACGATGTTTCCCTACCCGGCAACAGCTTCTGTTATATTCCAATTTAGTTACTTGGCGGCCCTTTGTCACTCGCCAAGTAATGAATGCAATAATGATGACAGAGCCGAGTGCACAAGGGATAGCCAACATTCCACAGAATAAAGGTAGGGCTTAACATAATCTAAACTCCCTAGCCATCCCTCTTCCTAGGCTTTCAAGATCTTGGAACCTAATGCCTCAAAGTTCTAGATCTTGTCATATCTGCCTCACTGAGGGTGGAACCAGGCCACCAGCCTGCATCACAAAGCCCTCCTGTTTCACAAGGTGGGCGCAGGACCTAGCTTTATCTATATGGGAGAGGTTCATGTGATCCAGTGATCAGATGAGGGGTCCGTTTATCTTATGGTTGTAAAGCCTGGATCTAAAGGCACCAAGGCCCTGCTCTCTCTATTCCCTGTACCCGGATGACTCCACTCTCTCCTTTACGATAACAGTCTGCCCTCCATGCTGCTGCCGTACTTCTCAATCTCCCATTAGCCTGACCTCTGGCCCCAGGCAAAACAATCAAATTCAGCACACTTTCCACCTGCTCCAACCAGGCCACCATTTACCAGTTAACCCACTGTCATTAAAACCAATTGCTGCAAACTCCTGTCTAGTGTCTCCCCTAGCCCTTGCTCATCTGTCTCTGAGTGATTGTTAGAGCCAAAAACAATTGTTTTTTTTTTTTTCCAGAGTTGATCTTTAGTATAGATTTCTTTATTGACTTGGTTCCCATTGATGGAGGTGGCTTGTGTGGACAGGTCAGCGGATCAGTGTCTTCCTAAACCAGGACACACACATGGTAAGCATCCTCATTTTCAGTCATGGTTCATAGTGAACAGCAAACACGGGATGAAGCATGTCAAAAGCCTCTGTGGATTCTGGAGGGCCACACAGCTGTAAAGGATTCACACTCATTTGCTTCTAGAAGACTTGCTAAAGCCTGACCTTGTTTCCATGATAATGCTGTAGTGCCACAATTATTGTAACACTAGAAATTCCTCAGGAAACTGTTGACAGGTATTGAAACATATGTACCATGATTTAATCATAGCCCCCAAAAGAAAAATTCTCACAGACATGCCCTAAAAATGAGCTTTACTCAAAAATAATTTAAAAAAATATTTATTTATTTATGCATACAAGAGCTGGCGTAGAGGCCAGAGGTATGGGGGGATGAGAGAAGTAACCAGAGATGGAGTGAGGAGCAGAACAGGCTGAGTGGCCGAAGTACACTGCTGAGGGGAGCAGCGGGCAAGTCAGGAGAGGTCTGCCATGCCATGTGGGTTTCTCCCTGGCCAGGGATCAAACTCGTGCTGCAGTGACTGCAGACAGCTTTATAGGTTGCGTCTTAACCCCTTGCACGGCCAGGGAGACCCTTTACTCAAAATTTTACTGAACACCTTAGAAAGGCCAAGGTCCTGGGGCTTGGGAAGCATCATTGCTGCCATTCAGTAGCAACATTTTTATATGTGTGCATCTTAATGTCCAAGACTACAATTTTGAGGGCGTTGAACACGCAGCCCTGGCAGTGTCAGGCAACAAGGCCACCAGTGCTCACACAGTGGGCATTACCCTGTGAGACGTGTAGCAGGCAGTCAGAGCCACTAGAGGGCAGCACCTGCCCACCCAATGCTACAGCCCCTTCCTGACAAAAACTTTAAAAGGTATACTTTCAGTGGTTCACCATCCTGGCTTTATATCACAATCAGTGGAAAGCTTGTGAAAACAGATATCCTGGTCTCACCCTGGACTTAATGAATCATAATTTCTATGGGCAGGGTCCAGCAATATATATATTCAATAAGTATCAAAAATAACCCTTGAGAGCACTGGGTTCTGGGTGTGTATCTGGGAGCAACTGGCCTAAAAGAGCACTACATTCCTCTTCTCCCCATATTTTTTAAAACAGTAATATATAGTTAACATTGTATTTGTTTAAAATGTACAACATAATTACTTTACATATACATCAAAATGATTACCACAAGTATAGTTAGCATCTTACATCTCACAGTGACAAATTCTTTTTCTTGTGATGGTACTTTTAATGTCTACTCTCTTAGCAATTTTTTTTTTTAAGATTTATTTATTTATTTATACAAGCACTGGGTACAGTCAGAAGCGCGGGAGGGTGAGAGAATTCACCAGAGCCAGAGCGGAGAGCAGAGCAGGCAGACTGATGAAGTACACTGCTGCGGAGAGTAGTGGGCACGGCAGGAGAGGTCTGCGCACCATGTGGGACCCTTGCCCGTTAGCCGGGGATCGAAGTGGCACTGCAGAAGCTGTGGGCACCTTTGCAACCCAGTGCTCAACCGCTGCGCCACCAGGGAGACCCTTAGCAACTTTTAAATATGCAACACAGTACTGTTAACTCTAGTCACCATGCCGATGTCAACATTAGACCCCCAGACTTTATTAATCTTATAACTGGGAGTTTGTTCACCCATTTTGCCCCCAATCCTGCCTCTGGTAACTATGAATTTGTTCTCAGTATCGATGAGCTCAATTTCATTTCTTTGTTTAGATTCCACATACAAATGAAATCATATTTGTCTTTCTGTAACTGATTTATTTCACTTAGCATAATGACCTCAATATTTATCTATGTTGTTACAAAAGCTTTATTTGATGTAATTAGAGTTGCACTTATTTTTGCTTTTGTTGACTTTGCTTTTGAGGTCAAAAAGAAACAAAAAACACCACCATTGCCATGACTGATGTCAAGGAGCTTAATCCTATGTTTTTATCTAGGAGCTTTATGATTTCAGGTCTTCAAGTCTTCATTCCATTTTGAGTTAGTTTTTGTGTATGGTCTAAAAAGGAATCCAGTTTTATTTCTTTTGATGTAACTGCCCAGTTTTCCTGACTCTCTCTGTGTGTGGGTGTGTGTGTGTGGGTGTGGGTGTGTGTGCGCGTGCGCGCACATGCGTGTGTTTAACAAGGAATTGACTTGTGATAATGGAGACTGAGAGTTCCAAAATGTGCCATCTATCAACTGGATACCAGGAGAGTCAGTGGTGTAGTTCCAGATTAAGTTTAGAGAAGATTGATAACCCAGCACGAGACAGGCAGACAGAACCAGTTCTCCCTTACCCTGCCACCTTTTGTTCTATTCAAGCCTCTAATGGATTGGATGAGGTCCACCCACATTGGGTAAGGTAATCTGCATTTCTCAGTCTACCAATTCAAATGTACTTTCATCCAGAAACTTTCTCATAGACATACCCAGAATAATGTTTAGCCAAGTATCTCGGCATCTCATGTCCCAGGCAAGTTGACACATAAAATGAACAATCATATCCTCCAACTTTATTCTTTTCAAAGTTGATTTTGCTACTCAAGAGCTTTGTGCTACCATATAAATTTTAGAATCAGATTATAGTGTCAACAAAAGTCTACCAGGATTGTGTTGGATCTGAATCAGTTTCGGGGAAAATGCTGTCTTAATCTTAAAATGTCCATCTGACCCATGAGTAAGGTATATTTTTTCACTTACGGGATCTTTAAATTTCCTTGGAAGTATTTTGTACTTTTCAATGTATAAGTCTCTCACATCTTCTCATAGATTTATCCCTACATTAATCATATTTTTGGTAAATGGTATTTTTCAAAATTTCAATTTCTGACTGTTGCAAGTACATAAAAATCCAATTGATTTTTGTTCATTGTATCCTTTAACCGTACTTAGTTCATTTATTAGTTCTGATAGCTTTTTAATAGATTCCATTATATTTTCCAGTCATACTATTTGCAAATTAGGCAATTCTGTTTTTCTTTTCTTGCCTGATTAAACTGGCCAGAACCACGAGTGCAAAGTTGAAAATAATTGTTGAGAGTAGACCTCCTTGCTTTTTCCCTAATCTTGCAGCAGAAAGCATTTGCTCTCTCATTATTAGCATGTAGGATTTTTTAAATAGCTATTCTTTATCAGTCTGAGGAAGTTCTCTTCTATTTTAAGCTTGCTAACAGTTTTTATGAGGAATGGATGTTTACTTTTATCAAATATTTTTTCTGCATCTGTTGAGTTGATCCTATGGTTTTCCTTTTGAGTTTGTTAATATGGTGAATTCCAATGATCAGTTTTTGAGTGTTAAACCAACCCTTTATTCCTGGGATAAAGTCTCTTGATCATGATGTACTATACATATACATATCTTATAGGTATTATGCAAATATATTGTTTGATTTGTTTGGCAAATATTGTTAAGAATTTTGCATATGAAGAATATCAGTATTCTGCATATGAAGAATAACAATATTCCTGTATTGTCTTTACCTAGATTTTGTGTCAAGGCAATGCTGGCATCAGTGAGTTAAGGGCCTCCCCTGGTGGTGGCACAGCGGTTGAGCGCTGGGCTGCGAAGCTGCCCACAGCCTCTGCAGCACTGGTTTGATCCCGGGCCGTGGGGGAGGGTCCCATGTGGCGCGCAGACCTCTCCTGCTGCCCGCTGCTCCCCTCAGCAGTGTATTTCGTCAGTCTGCCTGTTCTGTTCCCTGCTCTGGCTCTGGTGAATTCTCTCACCCCCTCCTGCACTTCTGACTGTACCCAGTGCTTGTATGAATAAATAAATATTAAAAAAAAAAAAAACAACAGTGAGTTAAAAAGTTTTTTTTTTCTCTTCAGATATGTGGAAGAATTTGTATATAACTGGAATTATTTTTCCCTTAAATGTTTATTGGAGTTGGGCCTCCCCGGTGGCGCAGCAGTTGAGCGCTGGGTTGCGAAGCTGCCCGCTGCCTTTGCGGCGCCGGTTCTATCCTCGGCTGCTCCCCGGCCACTGGAGGAGGGTCCCACATGGCGCGCAGACCTCTCCTGCCGCCCGCTGCTCCCCTCAGCAGTGTACTTCAGTCCTTCTGCCTGCTCTGCTCCCCGCTCTGGCTCTGGTGAATTCTCTCACCCTCCCATGCTTCTGACTGTACCCAGTGCATATATAAACAAAACAAACAAATAAATATAAACATGCCTCTATTAAAAAAAATGTTTATTGGAGTTAACTAGCAAAACAATATGGGACTGCAGTTTTCTTTGTCACAAAGCTTTTTGGGATAAGATTTTAACAACTACTCTTTAAATAACTATAAAGCTATTTAGGGTATCTATTTCTTCTTAAGTAGGTTTTGATAGTTTGTTCTTTCAAAAAAATTTTTTAAAGATTTATTTATTTATGCATAGAACTAGTGTGTAGGCCAGAGGTGTGTGTGTGAGAGAGAGAGAGAGGATTCACCAGAGACAGAGTGGGGAATAGAACAGGTGGATTTACTGAAACGGACTGCTGAGGGGAACAGCAAGCAAGACAGGAGAGGTCTGCTGTGCCATATGTGGGTTAGTTCCCTGACTGGGGATCAAACTTAGGCCGTAGTGGTCATAGTGCTGAGACTTAACCCCTGTGCCAAATTCAAAGAATTTGTCCATTTTATCTAAGCTATCAATTTATGTCTATAAATTTATTATCCTTTTAATATCTGTAAAATTTGTGGTGAGTCACTTCTTTCATTCCTGATATTGGTAATTTGTATATTCTTTCCCCCCTTATTTCCTATAACTTCTCAGAATATGAAAAACTCTGGCCTTGCTGAGGACCCTTAACGCTGAACTTTGATCATGGGTTGGTAACACTACATAAAAATTTCTTAACCAGCTTCCTTGGATTCCCTAAGATGTCCAGAAATGAAATCCATAATATCCTGAAATCTAATCAGATCTTGAGTGTGAGGAGACAAAGTTTCAACAGAGTCTCACCAAGAAGTAGAACAATTTAAGAAACATTACTCTGGCATTAAAACAGCCACAAAGGTCAATGAAACAGAATTGAGAGCCCCAAAATAAACCCATGCATTTATCATCAATTAATTTATGACAAAGTAGCCAAGAGTATATAATGGGGAAAAGATAATTTCAGTTAAGAAAAGAGCTCTCATGAATATGTGTGTGTTTTTGTGTGTGTGTGTGAGAGAGAGAGAGAGAGAGAGAGAGAGAGAAACACTGACTGACTAGGTTGACAGCAAAACACCCATAAAATTCAAAGCAATTTCTGCGGATATTATGAAAAAAACCCTCATATAGTAGGTGAGTTTGGCCATCTCTGGCAATGACCTAACCTAGACAATGAATTGTAAGAGGGGGTTAAGCATTCAGGAACACAAGGCAAAAAGGAAACTAGCTTTGAGCAAAATTACTAGTGCCAGGACCTGTACACACATCACCTCCTTCAGCCCTTACCACCGAGACCCAAGTATTATCATCCTATTTATATATAAGGAAACAATCATCGAGAAGTAAATTAACTAGTCCAAGGTCACACAGAACAACTTAGTGATGGATAAAAAGTCTCCAAACTCCACTAAACTTGCAACCTTCATTTCCTCAAGTGAAAAGGATATAGATACCCAGTGTAATAAGATGATGCCTGAAATTGCAGACTACTCACATGTCTAGTAATTGTGAAAAGAAGGGCCACAGTAAGAAAAGGAATCAAAAAAACAGGAGCCAAGGAGCAAGGCTAAGTCCAAAAGTCTCCAATCACCCAGGTACACTTGCGCTCATCAGGTGTGTCCCCTAGGGACAATGAGCAGCAGGTTGTCACAGCACAGTGACATTACCACCTGGGAGTGTCCCATTCACATTCCTGGCTTGACTTTATTTTCCCTATTTTGACTACAGCCTCATCAAGTACCTTCTGTCCTGAATGTAGCTTTCAATGTAAATAGGCCTATAAAGAGAAAGTTCTGACCAGCCAGGTCCTTTGGATTATGCTTCCTGGTGTAAATTAGTAAGTTAGCATTCTGATGCCTCAGACTCTTGTCAGTTTAATTACAACTGGTTTCTCCTGAAGAAATCAGTTGGCTCAGAGAACATTGACAAGATGGAGTCTTTCTACTTGTAGAAAGACTGACTCCTACTTCTCTTCTCTTTGTTCCCCCTAGTTAGTCTCCGCCCTTCTGAGTAGCTACCATGGCTGCTGCAGTGACCATAACCCCAGCCTCCTCCTCCTCCATTGTTCAGTAGAAGCTGCTTTCCTCTTGTGTGCCTCAGTTTTCTCCTGCTAGCATTAAGTAGTATCTCATAAAGGCTATTATTGAATAAAGCATGGGGGGGATAGAGGATGTGACTGTTATCTTGAAACAAATCCTAATAACTTAAAAATTGCATGTTTTTAGCCTAGTAGGAAATAGGTAATTATACAAAACTACTTAAAATGTCTTGGCACGTGCCTGGTACAGATAAACTGCTATATAAATTTCCTATAAACGGGAGAGAGATTATTTTTGGCTGAAGTGATCTGGGAAAGATGACATTTAAGCTGGTGCTTGAGGCAGAGAGATTTTATTATGTGGTTACAGGAGTGATCCGAACGCAGGAACCAACATGCAGGAGGCTGGGGTGTCTCTGTGTAATAATATGTGGCGATAACAGAAGGATTCTTGAAATATTTATTTTACTCTGGGTACATTTTATTTTGTATATATTCAGTCTCAGGGAAGTGGGGTTTAGATTTCATTTTGGTCTCTGTGTGGAAACCGAGGTGTGGTTTCTCCTTGCGCGCATACTCTTCTGCATCACGTGGACATGGACTGTGGCGATGGGTCTCCTGAATCTGACCATATGTGTTTCTAGGTATAAACGTGTGTGGGTGCATTTCTCTCCAGATTTTTTTGGTCTTTGTGGGTGTGCACATGCAGTCCTGAGGGAGAGAAGGAAAGAAGAATAATTACAGGGAGGAGAACGAAGAGAAAGGAAGAAGTTATTGTGGGGAGCCCTAATGTGAAACTAAGCCCTAATGTGAAACTAATGGGCATCATTAGTTTTTTTGGTGTCAGATTGCTATTGGGAAGATTTTTATTGGGAAGATTTGTGGAAGGGCGGGGGGGCAGGAGGGGCGGGGGGGGCAGGAGGCGGGGCGGGCAGGAGGGCGGGGCGGGGCGGGGCGGGGCGGGGCGGGGCGAGGCGGGGCGGCCAGGACAGAGGAGCAGCAGGCACAGAGAGAAGAGACCTGCGCTCTAGCTCCATGCCCCCTTCTGGGGGCTAACTCCCACGCTCCTTGCGGGTAGCTCCCTGGCCGGGGCTTGAACTCAGGTCGCAGCGGTGATGAGCGCTGAGACTAACCCCTAGGCCATCCTGGAGGCCCCGCCAGGGCCTTCGTTAAATGGAGCCTTTAACCTTTATTAGGAGGCTTCAGGAGAACTACTGACAGCTGCTTCTCCAGCAAGTCAGAGGAGACTACGGCTGCCCTGCCCTTCCTTTCCCTTCCCTCAGTGATCATCACTGTCTCCTCCTAGGGCCCCTGGGCGCTGAGGGAAGATGGCTTTCAGCAGCACCTCCATGTCTTCATCGGTGACAAGAGGGGGCAAAGTATGGGGATTTTTCAAGTCTAAAGTATTTTTCATTGATGAATCAGAAGAAAAACCTACACAGTTCAGAAAGTAATCAGGATTGTACTGATCCTGAAAGATTTCTTTGGTGATGATCGTGTGTAAAATCAATATTTAGAAGTTTCTAGAGATTTAAGTATGCAGACTTCTGATGTCCTCATAGAATAATGAATGCTCTTAGCGAGCTGAAGAGACTCAAAAAAAAAAAGTAAATAATCCAGTCACAAAATGGGCAGAAGAGATAAAAAGGAACTTCTCCAAAGAGGAAATGCAAATGGCCAAAAGGCATATGAAAAAATGTTCAGCATCACTTGCAAGCAGAGAATTGCAAATCAAAACTACCATGAGATACCACCTTACACCAGTGAGAATGGCACATATTAAAAAAACTAGCAACAACAAATGTTGGCGAGGGTGTGGAGAAAAAGGAACTCTCCTGCACTGCTGGTGGGAGTGCAAACTGGTCCAGCCACTATGGAGAGCTGTGTGGAGATTTCTGGACCTACTAAACATAGAGCTTCCATAGGATCCAGCAATTCCACTCCTAGGTATTTACCCAAAGGACACAGATACATTAATTCTAGAGGGCACCTGCACCCCTATGTTTATAGCAGCACTGTTTACAATAGCTAAGCTTTGGAAACAACCCAAATGCCCAAAAATAGATGACTGGATCAAGAAGATGTGGTCCATATACACCATGGAATATCACTCAGCATTCAAAAAAGACAAACTCATGCCATTTGCAGCAACATGGATGGAGCTGGAAGGGATCATGCTCAGCGAAATAAGCCAGAAAGAAGACGAAAAACACTGGATGGTCTCACTCATAGCAGGAATTTAGAAACCAGCAAAGCACCTGTAGTCCATGACCTCAGTCTATCCTTTGCACTTGTTTTCTTCACGTTGTATAGAAGAAATGGATTAAGTAGAAGAAGCCATACATTTCTGGGCATTAAAGAATAGTTTGAGTGGTTGTTCAGAATCATCTTGGAAGGTGCAGTGATTTATCTCTCCATATCCTCCAGATATTTCTTAGCTCGTAAGTGTCTTCTAGTACCACCGTCTCTTCTCCCATCAGCATACACTCTGTTTGCCTTCCTTGCTCCTAGAAGCTGCCCAAGGATATATGACAATATTCCAAGATCTTTCCAGGCCCTCCATGGATGGCAGTGGTTTCATATCAC